ACATACACACACATATAAGAAGAGTACATTTGAAATGACTTTAAAGCACATTTTTGGGCTTTTTCAAACAAGACTAAGTTGAAATCCATAAACAATCCCACTTAGAGCTCATAAATTTACTTTTTTATAAAGCGCCATCATGGAATACATGGACCAGTCCCATTTAGGGCTTATATTATGACTAATTATGATAGGAAAATGATCTCCAGGAAAACAGTCAGGAAAATATATTTCAGCAGCCAGTAACTCCAGAGCCACAGCCTCTGTCACCAGACATGCTCTTCATTTTACTTTGCTCGCCTCTCTTGAGCTTTTCAAAAATGATGGAGGTACTTATGTTTGCTGGAACTAAACCCTCACACTCCATTGCTACAAGCCCCAGGTAAGGAACCAAAAAGCAGCAAGCTCCACAACCATCTCTGCGCCTACCTGTGAGATCACTCTGGCACCTGCCACAGTGCCAAATACTTAACCTTATTGCCTAATGACTACAGCCTCATTGACACTCTCTGCCAATGAATTGATGACATTTACAGTTAGGTAAGGCAAAACTTTCTTCAGTTAAACAAAGATAAACTGAAGTCATTGCATTTGGGAACAGAGATAAGGTTCTCAAGGTGAATGCGTACCTTGGAGTCAAACAACAAAAAATAAGGTCAAGAATCTTTTTGTGATTCTAGAGTCAGATATGAGTTTCAGTTGTCATGTCAAAGCAGTAACTATATCATCATACTATCATTTCAAAAACATTGCAAGAATTAGGGTGCTTTCACATCTGTAGCTCAGTTCATTTGGTCTGGACCAGCGGTCACCAATCTCGGTCCTGGAGGGCCGGTGTCCCTGCAGGATTTAGCTCCAACCTGCCTCAACACACCTGCCTGGATGTTTCAAGTATACCTAGTAAGACCTTGATTAGCTTGTTTAGGTGTGTTTGATTAGAGTTTGAGCTAAAATCTGTAGGGCACCGGCCCTCCAGGAACAATTTTGGTGACCACTGGTCTGGACCAAGGGCAACAAATTTAAAAATCCACATCACTCATTGGCCAATTGTTATTGAACGTATTTCCTAAACTGCTTTTCATTTGGTCAGAATTAACATACGGGGAAAACCCAATGGAAGTCCCACAAGTAAACAAACTGGCAGACACAAAATGTCGAGTTTTACTATGAAGGCATGACTGCACTGGCTGATTGTATCCCATAATATACTATACAGTTAGTATACAGCACGTTAGACAGACTATACATTTCGAGAATGAAGTGTGGCTGCGGCTAGAATACAATGTTTTAATGCATTGCAAAAGGAGAAGCCACATCGCAAGTCACTTTAGGTGGAGGCGTGGTTTAATTTAGCTAAACTGCAACATCAAATTAAGGAAATATTGCCAACGATTCATCAAATAATGTTTTTCCCTCTCTCTCTCTTTCCGTTTAATATTGTTGGTAAAGCGGTATAAAAAACTTTGGTAACACATTACAATAAGGTTCATTAGTTAATTCATTAGTTAGTTCGTTAATTTACTAACATGAACTAATCATGAACAACACTTGTACAGCATTTATTAATAATAATTGAACATTTACTAATGCATTATTAACATTTAAGTCCGAGCTTGTTAACATTAGTTAATGCACCATGAGTTAACATAACCTAACAGCTGTATTTTTATTAACTAACATTTACTAACATGAATAAATACTGTAGTAAATGTATTGTTCATTGATTGACTGGGGGGCAGCTTCATTATTTTATGTTCAATTCACTTAAATTTGTAAAAAAAACAATTAAGTTAACTCAATCGATTTGCATTGAGAGACCATGAGATGTTGTGTGGAGCCCTGCATTTTTTACAGTGTAGGTTTGTCCATATTTGACCCAACATTGGTCTTAAACAACCTAACAATTTTTTTTGAGTGAGGAATGAACAAGTCATAACTCATTGTTGTCTTTACTTCCTGTGTTCTGATGACAAAAGATGTTTTAAAAGGATTTTTTCACCTTAAAGTCTTGCAATGGACAGCAGTCCTGTGAGTCATTAGGTCTAATAAGGGTTATCAAGCAATTTAACAGGACCATATACATCTGTGTGCAAACTCTAATCAACTGTAGCATCCCCAAACTCCAAAAGAAAAATGTGAAGTAAAATTTAACTTTTATTTGACTAAGTGTGTGCAGAGACAATGTCAAGAACACCAGAACAAAGACAAAAGTTGTCCAATTCATGAAGGCTGTATCAAAGAGTGGCCATATGCTTTATAAAGTTATTTATAGCATACAGCTCTGTAATTCTGTAATGATGATCAGCGATTTAATGTTCAACTGCTTATCAATGGCCTGTTTTTTTCAACTGACAAATTTTGTTTTGAAGTTATCTTTAGTTTTCAAGCTACACCCACCAAAATTTGCACAATCTTTATGCCTAGTTCAGACTGCTTGATTTTAGCCCCGATTTTGGCTCGCCGACAGGTTTTGAGAAATCGCCGACAAATGCCTGAAATCACAGGCGAATCGCTGCTCGTGCACGTGAGTGACAATCACACAGTATGAACTTTCAAAGACGCGATCTGAGAGAATTGTCGATGAGTCGCCGATGCCTGTGAGATATTTGGCATGCTAAATATCTGGAGCTGTCGGCTATTCAAATCATGCCGTGTGAATTGAGTTTTGACTGAAAATAACATCAGCGATCGCCTACAGCCAATGAGAGAGCAGCATTCACTGGTGTGTGCGTGTGTGTATACCTGCTGCAGGCCAGCGGGAGGCTGGGGGAGAAGTTAAAAGCGCTCATTTTCGGTTTATTTGGACCCACGAAATGGAGGATAAACTAGTGGAGGTTTGACAGGACTCAGGAGCAACCGTGTCTGTTTGACATTTCATACAGAAAGAAATTAGTTTATTATCAACGTTGAGGAGAAATGGCTAATTCCCTTTAAACCCAGGTGAGCAAACATGTACATGTTCTACCCCATTAAAGGCTTCTTTCTCATTATGTAGTTAATAACAAAAGATATACTACGTGTTTTTGGCTGTGAGACGTAGTTTGGACGAAGTTGTCGGCGATTCTCCCTATAGTAAAGTCATGCAATGTGAAAGTCCCTGTCACCGATCCATCTTGCAATGTAAACAAAGCAGCGACGAAACGCTAGCCCAGATAGTCATGCAGTGTGAAAACATCTGTGACACGACTAGTTTGAAAATCATGCAGTCTGAACTCGGCATTACTTGGCATATTTAATTACCAACCTACGTCTTATTTTTATTGTTTGTTTCTGATGATTGAAATTTCAAAAAGGCTTCCAGACAGAAGCTATGAATTTCAATTGAACAGTGTCTAATGAAGCAGACAGTGAGTGAGTGTATTATGCCAATTCTATCTATTTCTGAATTAATCCACATTGTTCTTTTGACTAAGTAATTCCTTTGCGACTGGTTAAAAAAGTATTCTGTATGTATTTTAAATATGCGAAAGATAAATGAAATCCACATTTACCATGTGACCTACCAACGTCAGTTGTGTTCCTTCTTCCATTTCTAACTGCTCACCTATAGTTTTCAGAGGAAGTAATAGCCTAAGCCACCTGTAGGCCTACATCCCACCTCTTGTTTAATAATCAGTGGAGACCAGAGGTAATTATATCATTTTAACATCACCCTGCTGAAAAAAAAGATGGTTGGCTGGCTTCAGTTGACGACCAGCTAAAACCAGCCAAGCTTATTTAGCTTCTTTCTGATTGGAAGAATTGAGTGTGTTACAGCTGCCCTTTTACATTAGCCCCCGTTTTTCCCTATATTGTAAATTCATTTTACACTGTAAAATGTTCTTTTACACTGTAAGCCAGTTTTTTTCAAGTCAACCTGACAAACAGAATGATATTACTGTCAAAGCTGATGTAAGCAACAGACACTTACTTATCAACACTTCATGTTTCTGGAAAGAAATCTTGCGATTCTTAGTGTGCTTCACAGGTTTGTGTGTCTGACAAGTCCATTTACGATAGCACCCTCCCAATGGATATTGGAATAGACCAAATGGCTAAGCATACAGTGGGCCAAAATATACAACTTTGTATACAACAACTCATTGAAACTCCAAGTGTTTTTACAAGAGAGAAGTTAAAGGCCTATAAGATTTTGGATGCCTACAATTTAGTTCTGTTTGGTCATGTGCAGGTAATGTTCCATGATTACCAGATTCAAAACTTTGTAGTGCTAAAAACCAAGGTTCTGCCTAGCCAAAGACAAGGAAAGAAGACCAAGAAGCAACTTTACAAGGCCTGGGTAAACATCAACAAGCAAAACAACTGCATTCTGACAGCGCACTGCACCTGTACGGCAGGGTATGTGAACTTACATTTTTACATTCCATTGTAAGCATTCAGGGTGACGCAGTGGCGCAGTAGGTAGTGCTATTATGTTATCAGGCATCCTTGTGAGTTACATCAAAAACTAGCTGTTACTTTACATAGCCGACAATAATACAAGTTTCTGGCAGTGCAGCGTCTTGTTATATTTCATTTCCATTGTTTGCTGAATTTATTCAACAAAACTATCATAAGTCTAAAATTTTTGTGCAAGTTTGTGCTGCTTTTCCTTATGGCCAATGCAGTAAGTGACTGTATTATCATCAATATGTTACTGTTTAGCACAAAAGTTCGTAACATACAAAATTGCAAAAAACAAAATCTTACCTATGGAATGTTCTGCGTTTATGCTCTGTTTTCTTTGTTTGCTCGTTACTACACCTGTACGGAGCACAAAAAGTCCCGCATCTTGGCTAATTTGGTTGAATGACATACATGTTGTATGCGATATATAGTGTATATATCTATGGTAGAGTAGTAAAAACATGCTTTTAAAAAAATATATATTCTAATGTTAAATCAGGATCCTAGTCCATCCATTTTAAGGCTGACTGCAATGCGATAAAACATTGCGATTTAACCCACCAACCAATTGACAGTTGTGTATTATTATGTCAAGACAGGATTTGCAAAGAAACTTTGGATATATCAAAACTTTAATCCGCAGGATGAAAAAACAAAACATAGATCAAAAGTAGACCAATTCTTGGCAACATTGGTTGCCTGTTTCTGTGATTATCTTGTTTGACACAGGAAAAGCAGATATGTCAGTACAGTGGGCGGGGAGAACCAGCTCATTTGCATTTAAAGGCACAGGCGCAAAACAGCTACAATTCCTTCCGATCAAAAAAAAAAAATAATAATTTTTTTTAGCAGGATATAATAAATGACCTAATAGTAATTTTGAGCTAAACTTTCAGACATATTATGGCGATATGAGATATAAAAACATCTTTGATAAAAGGGGCAAAACAGAAGCCTTTTAAGGTGCTTTCATAGCAGGTAAATATCTAGAATCTGTATCTGACACAAACACAGCACATAATTCACCAGCACTGATCACAGTCAGCAGTCAGATGAGCAAAAGAGGCTGGCCAAAGGAAACAATGAGCAACAGACACGGTTACATAACACACACCCAAGCAAACTCTGTTCCACTTCATCCCTTTGTGTGTGGCATGTTTGAGTTGTTTCGCTCAAGTATGACTGCTGATCTCCATAACAATACCACAGCAAATGATCCATAACCCAACAGACATGCTTTCATCTGTGCTATTTGACAATATAACTGTAAAAAAAAAAAGAAGTACACGAATATAACAAATGCACAAAATTTTAATGTTGTTACAAGAGGTTATCAAATGTATAAAAACATCTCACAAATGTAAACTTTAATGTACACATGCAACAATTCCTTAAAATTCGGTTTATTTCTGTAGTTCACATTTTATAGGTTCTGAAAAACAAACTTTGTGAATAGTTAGTGTCTTGCCTAACATATTTTAAATTAACTTAATGGTAAACAAGTTCCTTTAGTGAATTGAAAACACCCAAAGTTCTCATAAAAATTTCCTTCTGTCATCATTTGCTCACCCTCATCTCCTTCTATACCTTCTTTTAATGACTAAATAACATACATATTAGTAGGAATAGTATGTTATTTCTGCAGTAGTATGTTTAAAATGTGTGAATAGGCTATAGGGTGCAGTATTCAGTAAGCTTTATCTCAGTTCACAATTAAAACCTTATCCAGTAAAACCTGTTCATATCTAACACTGGAAAAATAGGAGATCTTTGTAGGCTAGGAAGTGCTTAATAACACATCCTTTTAGATCCATGGACACCTTTTATCTTCCTGAGTTGACATTCAGATGCTCATGTTCCAGTGCTGGGACTTTCTTCTTTAGATCTTGTATTTCTGTTTCCCACTGTCACTAATCACACAGATGTGCTATGAGACAGACAGAACAAGATAAAAATAGTAAATGGGACACTTCAAAAGCATGACAATACAATACGTTTGCAAATATTTAAAAAACATGCTAAGTGAACGTGGTTGTTTATCAAAAACATAGCTAAAGTCAGTTATTCTTCTTTGAAAATGAACATTTTGTGTCAGAATGTACGTTTTTCCCAGTGTGTGGGTTATAAAGACCAAAACAATTTGCCCAATTACATCTCAGGATCCGGCTTGCCCTGGTGGATAACACACAGCTTAAAATGAATGATTTTGATGATTTATCACTTTGATGAATTCTATCTCCACAAGATGTTCCGCAGTCAATACTAGAGCTTATTGTTAGCATGTTGCTAAGCTAATGATGGAATACTTTTATATGCAGAAATATGTTCAACAGTTAATTCTAAGAGAGCTTATTGTTAGCATAAGCTAATGATAGGATGCTTTTATATGCAGAAATACGTGTTGAACAGTTAATTCTAACAGAGCTTATTGTTAGCATGTTGCTAAACTATTTATTAATTCATTTTCTTTTTTGGCTTAGTCCCTTTATTAATCTGGGGTTGTCAAAGCGGAATGAAGCGCCAACTTATCCAGGGTATGTTTTACACAGCAGATGCCCTTCCAACTGCAACCCATCACTGGGAAACATCCATACATACATATTCGCACACATAAACTTGGGACAATTTAGCCAACCCAAATCACCTATACCACATGTTTTTGGACTTGTGGAGGAAACCGAATCACCTGGAGGAAACCATGCCAATAAGGGGAAAACCTGCACACAGAACTCCACACAGAAATGTTAACTGACCCAGCGACCTTCTTGCCGCAAGGTGAACGTGCTCTCTACTGCGCCACCGTGCAGCCCGCTACTAAACTAATGATGGAATATTTTTATATGGAGAAATGTGTTCAACAGTTAATTTTAAGAGAGTATGTTGTTAACATGCTGCAAAGCTAATGATGGAATACTTATATATGCAGAAATATGCATCAACAGTTGATTCTAAGAGAATTTATTGTTAGCATGTTGCTAAGCTAATGATGGATTACTTTTAATGCAAAAATGTTCAACAGTTAATTCTAAGTAAGCTTATTGTTAGCATGTTGCTAAGCTAAAGATAGAACACTTTATGCAGAATTATGTGTTCAACAGTTAATTCTATGCCCGTGCACACAGACATTTTTTGCTCGCGTTTTCTGTTGAAGTTTAATGCCTAGTCACTAAATAAAGCACACCAGTGTGATCGTGCACATCAACGTGCAAAACACCAGGCGCAAAAGTGTCATTTTAAAAAAAAACGCCTTTTGCACGTTTTTTTTGTTTTGATGCGCCGCGTCAAAACCTTCTCCACCAATCAGATTCACACTTTTGTTTACGTGCACGGCGCTGCTGAAGTTACAGTAAACAGCATTTAGGGGTGCTCAAGCACACAACTGTGAATACGAGTGCACATTAAAGAAGATGCCCTCAGGCAATTAAAAACGTGGAGCTGCTTATTGCTCTGTGAACAGTAATCATTTCTTCATCGCTAGAGCTGCTGCTTGAACCATCCATGCTTGTTCGAGTCACAAGTAACTTTAACAACAAGCGTGTGAACTTCCTTTCTTCTGTGTTATAAGTTGGTGTCAGAAGCTTAAAGTTGTGTAGCGCCATCTAACGTCAAGGAGTGATTTTGCATACTCTTCTGCTTGACGGCAGTGAAAATCGCTTGTGTTTGAATACGGAAAAACGCCTCATAAAATGCTCATGATAAACATAAACGAAAAGTGTCCCCGTGTGTACGAGCCTTAAGAACGGTTATTGTTAGCATGTTGCTAAGCTAATGATGTAATACTTTTATATGCAGAAATATGCATCAACAGTTAATTCTAAGATAATTTATTGTTAGCATGTTGCTAAGCTAATGATTGATTACTTTTTATGCAAAAATGTTCAACAGTTAATTCTAAGTAAGCTTATTGTTAGCATGTTGCTAAGCTAAAGATAGAATACTTTTATGCAGAATTACATGTTCAATAGTTAATTCTAAATACCCGTGCACACAGAGACGTTTTTTGGTCGCGTTTTCTGTCAACGTTTAACACCTCATCACTAAATAAAGCATACCAGTCTGATCAAGCACATCAACGCACAAAACGCCAGGCTTAAAAGCGTCATTTAAAAAAAAATGCCTTATGTTTATGTACGAGCCTTAAGAATGTTTATTGTTAGCATGTTGCTAAGCTAATGATGGAATACATGAAAATGCATAAAAACACAAATATGTAAAAGAGACTGCAATTTAAATTAGACTGAGTAATCAGTACATTTCCCAAACTTTTTTGTCAGCTGGATTTTGATATGAAATCTTCTCTAAGTCTCCTCTGCATAGTTTAGCTTTATGTGATCCAAGCATTGCTACTGACTTTGCTTAATAATATGAATAAATTTCTGACTGAAAAAAAGTTACCTAGCATTTCATGACTAGCACTTTGTTCAAGCTGTATGCCTTTACAAATGCACATTATAACCAGGACAATTTTTTTTAAATGCACACTAGCACTAGTTTGCACGAACAATGTAACTGACAACTCATTCAATTTATAAAAAGTTCAGATTTCATGCAAGTTAATAGTTCAATCACATGAAACTAAACAAATAAAACAGGTCAAATATTTTATATAATTTAAATAGGTTTATATAACAGTTCTGTCTGCTTCTTGAATCTGATTGGCTGATAGCAGTGCAATATTCTGCAATAACAGCACTCGTACAGCCTCTTCATCTTTGTGTTTTACTCCGCCCACATAGAGTGACAGCAGATAGATAAACTTACTTCAGTTTGACAAATATTGGAGCTGTTGGACAACATAATGTACTTTTGAGGCTTTTTTTAGTCCAGAATGTAGTTGTTTACATTGCAACTTTGCAGTTTATTTAAAAGGATGGTGCCTATTTTAAATATTTAAAATTTCAGAGATTTAGCGCATCGGCGGCCATCAGCCTGTCATACTGAGCAGAGCAAAGAAAATGACGGTTGACATTCCAGCACAAGATGGTGTCAGAGACCGCATAAGTCCGTAGAGGAGAAAACTAAAAATTTCAACAAATTATTAAATTTCCAACAACAGCTGATCAAATCATTGTAAAACAGGTAAGTGACATTCTAAGTTGATCTCTCTCTTTTGTATATTGTAGGGCTGTATTAATACCATAGTAATTTTCTAGTGTTTGCTTTGGATTTTTTAGAGTTTATTGTTGGGATCTCCCATTTGCAACACAGAAATACTGGGTAATCATTATAGACTGATAGAATTGCATGTTGTTCAGCCTTATAATCTAAAAATGTCAGCAGCATCACACAATTTTGACATCACTTTAGACTAGGGCTGCAACAACGAATCGATTAAATCGATAAAAATCGATTACTAAAAGTGTTGGCAATGAATTTCATAATCGATTTCATCGATTCTGATGACATGTGGATGTTTGATTATTAAAAAACACTCAGCGCGGAGCTGAGCGAACTTGGTCTCTTTCTTGCACTGATAGAGAGTTTGGTGCCTCATAGACAGGGATGAGAAAGAAGGAAGTTCAACAGCATGGTTCTACTTTTGTTCCGTTCTGAAGTGAGGACCGTACAGTCCCTGGTGCTGACTATCCAGCTTAAAGAGCATGACAAGTTAGCATTAGCTCGTTTACTTTTAGAGCGGCAACTGAGAAAATCAAACTGATCTTTGGCGCGGTGTTTGGTGCTGAGGCAGAGAGCTCGCGCTGAGCAGAGCTTTCAGTAAGGGACATTCGAAAAAGTGTTTCTTTTTTCCGCCTTTTTTTTTTCTTTTCAAAACAAAACCAACATAACCCTGCTGAGAAAGACGTGTCATATTATCATAATTATGCAGTGTTTTAAACGCCTTTTGCTTAATTTATGTTTTAGACACGTAAATACACACACGTACTAGTAAAACAATACATTTAGAGTTTGTAAAACACACGAGGAAGTCTAGCAATCCATTCAAACATAATCTACAGATGTGTTTTCTTCATATGAGATACACATTACACAGAGAAAGTAACTATAAAGTTGAATCTACTCTTCTCCAAGTTCACCAGCCACTTACTTGCATGTATTTGGGGGATAACTGGCAAATTTACGTGCTGAATCCTGCGTGTTCTGCTTTTTATGAATAAGGCAAATGCGTTGTCGCAAGTAAACATGGCGACGACCATCTCACATTAAAGATCACGATCACTTACACGTTTATGTCAACTGTTAAAACTTCTGTTTGAGATTATATCTCATTAAGATTATTTTCCTTACCCAAATTACCAATAATTTAACTTGTTTTATGCAAACAATCACAATTCAGAAAACAAGACATAATTTATTATGCTGTTTCATGTGTCTAGTGTGCATCCTAATTTAAAAATATTTAGATATTTGGATTGAAAACAGGAGAAAACATCTCAGGGATCAGCTCAGGGATCAGCTTTTTGAATAAAGGGTTGGAAATGAATGATTTTCTTTTTTTTATCCGATTCATTGATTAATCGTAATAATAATAGAAAGATTAATACATTATTAAAATAATTGTTAGTTGCAGCCCTACTTTAGACATTTCGCTAGAGAATCATTCAAGCTCTAAAGTGACCTAGCAATGGATTCTGCAGTTCTAAACATCAGTCATATTGCATTGCTATTTGTGACACTGCTCATATATATATATATATATATATATATATATATATATATATATATATATATATATATATATATATATATATATATATATATATATATTAGCGCTGTCAAAATTAACGCGTTAAAGCATGCGATTAATTTGAAATAATTAACGCGTAAAAAAAATTAACGCAATTAATGCAGTTTTTTTTTTTCTGTTGTGGCCAGGGCAGACACCGGGCATTTTACCGCTGTTTCGACTTACTTTTTGGGCCAGGCTGATCATCTTCATATGATCTGAACGGCCCATAAAACACTCAGCAGACTGTCATGTCTTTCTGCCTCAATGATTGACGGTACTGTGTGAGCTGTCACGCTCTAAAAGTAAGATGTTTCTTTTCCAGACAGAGCGCCTGTGTGACATAATCTGCAGCCCATTAGTTCTTTTCTTTATTGACATTGGGCTGACCCAATCACAACCTTCCATGTTGGGCTCTGTGTAACGTAAGTGTGTATTCGTTAAAATAGCCAAGAGTCCCGCCTGTTTTTTCACACGCGGGTTCGCGCCACGGGAGAGCAGGCTTTTCCGTCTTCACTCTGCAGCGGGGCACATATCAATATATTCCTGTCTATTCTATCTAGTTACCTATCTGTCCTTATACATATACTTTTTAAAACTTTTAATCTGCACCAAGGCTGCGGCAACTTCCTCCTATAATGCTGTTTCCTTAACCTGCAAGTCTTTATTTTACAAATGATAAAGAATGTCCGCTTCTAAAGCTCTGAGGGGTGTCATTCATGTATTTTAATACATGAAAGACAAGCGCATGAGATATCATGACATTGTGTTTTTGATCGTCAGCATGATGTAGGCCTATAGTGACAATAATGTTTATACCATATGGTTAATATAATGATATTTATACATGACCAAACTAGTGTGCTACTTAAAGGTTCAGGACACCCCGGAGAACTTTTTTTTTTGTATTAACAGATGTGTGTGTGTGTTGAGCATCAGTTAAGACAATGTTAGCACCTGTCAGCTTTAATTGTGGGGAAAACTGAATAATTTTGAGCTTTTGTCAGCTAATTTCAGCTTCCGGGTTTAAAATGATTTTTGGGGCGGGATCAAAATCGGCGACGTAGCGCAGAACTGCAAGTGCAATGATGACGCGTCGGTTTCTCATTATTATTCATAGCGGAGTTTTCTTATCCTATGAGAAGAGCCGGCTGCTTAATTATTCATGAGACCTGCCAGACCTGCCAGTGTCAAGCCCGAGCTGAGAGACACGGAAACCACGGCACAGTATTTAGCCGTTCATGAAGGCTCATATGCGTTTGTTTCCATCATCCACGGGGTTTGTTGCATGTTTTCCCCTGCGATCTTGTCAGGGTCGATCATACAGCAAAGCTGTGTGCGTGCTGCTAGCATTTTTGTCGGGAGAGCAGCACGAGAATTAAAGAATGCCGGACGCTGTCTTTCATCAGGAGTTCGTTCACATTCAGACACATCGCCGTGCTGCTGTGTTTGCCTAAATCCTCCAGATTACCAGCAGGGTTAAAGGTTAAAATAGACGGGTCAGGAGACCTGCTGCACTGAGTCTGCTGGATACGGGGATTGAGGGAGAAGTCCTCATTTATAGTGTTTACATGAACACACATCTTTATAATGATATAAATTGTTGTTGTCTGTATATGAAATTACGAATAACAAATGTAGCAGGGCATTAAATCACTGTTTATTTCTTTGCATTTTAACTTTGTAAACTATAAACTCATGCGTCTCCTCTTTGTGTCTCATTTTGTGAGCTATAACTGACAACAGCAGTTATTCGCTCCCCTTCTCAACTGCTGGCCACGCCCACTCCTGCCCGATGCTCGCGGAGCTCCACGCCCATTAATCATGCATCTTTTGAAAAAATTCTGAAGTAGACTTTAACTGAAAGAGGGGGGTGTCATGGCCCTTTAAGCAACTTTTTTTACATTTATTTTTGTAGTTCTGCCCAAACAAATATTTGTTGCATTTTTTAATTGTTTAAGTTCAATTGATTGACAATGTAAAAGCTGTTAGCTATGTTTGATGTTTCACTGTTGAGTTAAACATTTTTTTAGGGTCTCTGAAACATTGCTTTTATTATTTATCTTTATTTTATTAATCAACATTAACTGTGTGTGTCAGCAGGCAGTTTTTGTTATGTTCATTATTTATTAGGCTCCCTCAAAACACACAGGCACACACATTTCCAGTGTGGATTATAATTTTATTTTAATAATAAATTAAAAAAAAAGTAGTTTTTTAATTTGTCAACTCTCGTTATTTCCCATATATGGCTTTTGTGCTTTTATAGAAGGGGAGTTGGTAAACCTATCCAAGGGCGTGTACAGATTTTCAATACTTTATTAATATTATTATAATTTTCCATATCTGCAATGCCTGTATTTTGGCATTTTTTTGCAGTCCACTTAGAATCCAATACGGAAATCAATGTTTTCTTTATTGGTATTGATTGTTTTAAAATTCAAATGGCATTAACATGCCTGTGTTTTAATTTCTGTAATAAATATGGCTGTCGAGCCAGGATCTTGATGGTTTATTGTGGGTATGTTGTTTACATGAAGAAATCTGTGTTACAAGTAAACAAAAATTCTAATAATGAATTATATCTTGAATTTAAATAGTAATTGTCCTGCGTTTCCATTAATTTAACACTCGAATAGACAAAATTACAAGTTTCAGTCTTTTAAATGCGATTAATCGCGATTAATTTTTTTTAGAAGTGCGATTAGTTAATTTTTTTTAATCGATTGACAGCACTAATATATATATATATATATATATATATATATATATATATATATATATATATATATATATATATATATATGTATTTTTTTTTTATTGAACATTTTGTTTTTTAACAAAGCCCGAGATCCACCCAACAAAATATGTAAAATAAAAATAAAAACAGTAATATTGTAATAAGTATAAAATCAGGATAGAAACATAAATTATACAGTCTCTCTTATATTTGACCAAAATTGTACAGATTTTTTTTTTACTAGCACCATTTATTTTAGCTGTGGTGTATTCCAGACTAATATTGTCCAGTAAATAGAGCCTCCAGGATAGATCAGTTGGAGCAGATAGATCCAGCCATAGTTTCAGGATTGTTTTTTTTATTTTTTATTATTATTTTTTTCCGCAGCAGTCAGAACAACTGACAGACCTTTTTTGGTTGATGGATAAGGAGAGTGATGAATCGTTCAGCATAAGAAAAAGCAATGGGTCGCATTGGATCCGAGTTTCCACTAGTTCTGATAGAAAGTCTCGTACCATGGTCCAGAATCATGAAATTTGGGGACATCCCTAGAACATATGTATATAAGTACTTGGTGTAGAGTTGTTACATGAGTGATAAATGGGGTCTGATTTTCTTTTCATTTTAAATAACAGGTAGAGGGTGGCATAAGCTTTGAAAATTAATTTATAATGAATCAATAGTTCTATATTTTAGTTATGTTGTTATTATTTAATTGCACGAGTGTTCAAAATATTTAGTTTACTAACTGTTAAAGAAATATTGTGAAATTGTTGTTAATCCATTGTTTAATCAATTTATTCGACAAGTACCAAAAGTTTTTAAATGTAACGGTAACATTTTTTATTAAAATATTTGTACAAATATTGAAAAAAGTGCCACAGTTTCGACATATGTATTAAGCAGCACAACCACTTTCTAAATTAATAATAAGAAACATTTCTTGATCCTAAAAAAAATCAGCATGATTTTAAAAATGTAAAAACATTTCAATTGTATTTTTACTGCTTCTTTTGGCAAATCGTAACAGTTCTTTTCTGATTGATTCAGTTTTCCTGCTATTTCCTAATGCATTATCTATGCAATGCTATTTGAGTTTGACTATGAAAGCCTAAATTTGATACATGCATTTAGTAAAACTCAACATATCGAGAGTGTGTCTAAAAATCCATTTTAAGGCTTATTGCTCATATAGGCTCACTAGATTGATTAGTGCTCTTCTGTTCATGATGTATGCATGTGAGAGATAGATACTAGATTGTTGGATAATTGAGTTGAACAGCCCAGGGCATTCTCTGAAGAGGGTGTCATTTTTCACAACAGCTCACTTACCCCTAGCAACCAGGCCTCCAAATGGAGACAAATGGACAACTGTGCAGCTGCAGAGAGACTTTTCTTCCTGATTCTCACAGTGTTATTGCTGTCTGTCATTTCACGCTTTGGCTAGACATTACAGGCATTACAGCAATACGAAGTTCAGGCAAACAAACTCATTGATGCTTCAAAGAGAGTGCACGATACGGTGATCTCACACCAGTTGTCACTTCCAGACTTTGGAATATGTAGACATAGGGGGCGAGTCCTTCGTCTGGGGACATTCTCATAATAGGCTTTTAAAAAAATTCTCTCTGACAGAAGTGGCAAACAATATTCAAATACATTTTATACACTGACTGACTAGCAAATCAGAATGTCAATGTCAATCAACATGCGATTTAACAGGTGACAAATAATGATTAAGAAGGCCCTTACATTGAGGTCTCTGAAGTATTCATTGTAATCCAAGGCATAGCCGACCACAAAACGATTGGAGATCTCAAATCCCACATCTGCAACAAATGGTGAAAAGCAAATGTTATTTTTAAGTGATGTTTTCATTACAAACACATTTTTTGTAGGGGAAAATGTAATTAATTCTCATTTTAATAAATAGAATAGTTTATTACACTTTGTTTGACAAAATGAAAAATCTTGATCTATTATAATTGCAGGCCCTTAGCTAGGAGGGTCCAGAAGACCCACAGTGTCCTGAGTTGTGGCTGGGCACCGCAGACAGCCGCCGACTTACGGCGCCAGTGTGTGTACCCTGATAGAAACCTATGTTTAGAATTCTGAAATGCGTGGTGCTGCGCCTCGCCGAGCTGCGCTTTTGGCGTGTAACCTGCTTTATGCTATCATAAATAGTGAAAATAACCAATCGAAAAAGGCTTTAGAAGAATCCTCTGTTGGCTGTCACTTTAGCAGGACTTCAGCTGTTCAGTTTTGGCCAATGCTAACAAACATTTTTTTTTTTTTATTTTACAATCAAACGCAAGTAAAGCCATCTTTCGCTACATTATTGTTTTTTTTTTTTTTTTAAAGAGAAAACCTTTTACAAGTGACTTTTATTATTGACTGTTATAAAAAAAATACCAATAAAAGGAGTTAAGCACCAAAAGCGGACCATATTAAAATGAATTTGAATACTATTTTGGCTATTGTTGTTATCCATGAATTTTCAAATGTACGTTTTTTTTTACAAAAGAGGCTAGAAAAATTGTGAAGCACTACATTATAATTATTATTATTATGTTTTTAGCCATGGGCTGGTATAAGATTATGACTGTATTATAACCTTGGATAAAAATATCATAGTTTCAGGGTATTGTGATTACTGCTTTAAAATTTGTTCTTTTAACCCCTCTGAACAAAATATATTTTGTTTTGAGAAACGGATCAGGAAACATGTCAGGTTTAAGAATTAAAGTGAATCATTGACTTCTGCTGTCTTCATTAGTTTCCAAAACACAGATTTCATTACAATTTAAAATGATATCTTTTCTGCTGGAAATACTGTTGTCCCAAAAACCTACACAAAACTAAAAAAACAGCAGACAAAACAAAACAAACAATTTACATATACCTTGAAAACGGTATAGTAGAAAATGTTTGTGGTTTTTAAAACCTTGACTTTTTCAAACCGTGCTATACCTTGAAAATGGTTATTGTCCCATGCCTATACTTTGTCATTTTTTTTTTTTTAATTCAAATAGCCAAATTGTGACTGAGGAAAATCGAATGTGCAGGCTAGTTTGTTATTTGCCTAATAAATGACAATAGGCCACAGTTTTTAATTTAAAACTTTAACAGATTCCTATTTTTTCCCTAATGATATACATTTGTATAATAAAAATAAGTATTTTTCATATTTTTTTATTATCTTAATCTTTAGACAACATTTTTGGTACATCAAAAAGTGTGGTTATGATGACTATCCGACAAGCTGATCCAGCTAAAAATAGTGCTTAAAATGTCACTAAAATGCAGTATTTAAGTATCATAATTAAATAGAAAACAAGGCGTATAACTGCATAAACGTTCACTTGTTTAGATAAAAGTGCCACCCCTTTCACCAGGCTGGCTTTGGGCCTGCATTGGTATCACTTTACAATAAGGTTGTATTAGGTAATGTATTTACTAGCATGGACAAATAATGAACAGTACATTTATTTACTACAGTTGTTTTTTGATATTTTAAAGGAATTAAAGCTTTTTATTGTTACACTGTGTCCTAACCACACACAACATGCAATAAAAGAAGCAGTTTTAAAATGTTCCTTAATAAAAGCAAAACTGCTGAACTGTTGTTGAAGTCGGGAAATTAAAAATAAAACACCTGAAATTAAATGAAACTCTGGAGGAAATGTGGACAACATAGTGATGCAATGACATTAATCGAATTATGTGCTAACATGTAAAACTGGATCATAAAGGAACATTCAAATAGCAACTCATGTAAACACCTTAATCATATTATTGTCTTATTCAGATTAAACAAATAATTTGATAACTAATGTTCATGTAAACGTAGTCAATGATCAACTCAGGGGCTGATTATGTGATTAAATGCTACTAAAGTGAGTTTGAGTTGACTGTTTTACATGACATTTATAACCAAAATACTTAAAGCAGTGGCAGATAGTTTACCTTAGATGTTAAAAATAAAATAACTAGGCAATGCTTTGAAAATGAAAAACTGTCACTCAGCAGCCGGGGCGGATTTAGTGATTTGGGGGCCCCAAACAATTCCACCCATGGGGCCCAAAAGTCTTAATATAGAGTATACACCCATGCATTTATTTATTCAGCTGACTTTTTTTTTATTTAACTTAATCTTCTTTTCTATTTTTTTTTTGTACAAAAAAATAAATAATAAAAAAATAAAAATAAAAACAACTAGAAATAATAAATACAATTTCATCTGCTTTGACTGCTGAACTGCTCCATTATTTGCGCAGACGTAATAATTATGATACACTTTTATTTTTTAGACCCTCAACTTAACTAAATATGAGAGAAAACTATGTTATATAACTCATTTATAGATAGAATTTATACTAAGTATTTATATTTGTAGGCCCCTAGATTTTCTGGGGTCCTAAGTAACCTGTTACATTGCTTATAGGTTAAATCCACCCTTGTCAATAGTCTATATTTTAATAACGTTAAAGAGGTTTAATATGTATTAGTTTTATTATTACCCTTACCAATTCATTGGGAGTGCAGCAGCTGGTAAGTAAAGAATCTTGTAACGTGATGTGTTGTTTGGACACAGAGTTAGTTCATGTTAAATCACAGTGCAATAATGTTAAATAACATTAATTGAACCAAGAACTAGGATTAATATATTCATTTATAATTACACTGGGCTCATTTTTAATTACTTAATATTAATTAATGTTAGTAAATGCATTAACTTATAAAACCTTATTGTAAAGTGTGACCATTACATTTAATATAAATGGCTTTTATAGCTCATATTGCACATTATGAGACAATTTGGAGCACAAGCCAGAGTAAAAAAAAAATTCATTTAGAGATAAAAAAAAATGACCATAAAATTGTTATTTAGCTCACTTGCTTGTTCTTTTATGGTTAACAATATGTGCAATTGACTACTTGCAATGCATTCAGGTTTAATTATATATATCCCAAAAATAGATCTCACTAAGATGATTTTTTTCTTATGCTAATTTTATAAGAATCCATAGATTTTATTGAACTCAACCTAAAGGGGGATGTATATGCCTGATATACTTCAAGCTAAATCAAAGAACAAAATTATGTATTATAATTTGGAAAAATGACCATAGCTGTAAAAATATCTGTAAATTAGCAGTTTTCCATATTTTGTGACTCATGTTTTGATTTTATTTTTATTGTTTATAATTACTTTTTATGCTTTTGAATTGCATTATGGGTCCTTGAACTTTTTTACAACAAATTTTAACCTTAGAAAGTTCAAAAAAAGTGACATTTATGAACATTTTTAATAGTTTAAAGTAAAATATTGTCTGGATTGGTGATGTATATTACGCTACAAAAACCTTGTAATAAACTGCCAATACATTTTGTTATTTTATAGATTTATTTCTCTATATATAATTTCTTTTACCTTATATAAATGTCAAACTACTAAAATATCAATAAGTCATTTCTTTTAAACTGTAAAGAATTTTCAACATCAAAAGTTGATCAACATCCCATAATGCAATTCTCAACCGTCAATAAAAACTTGTAACTCACAAAATACGAAAACTGTTAATTAACATTTTTTTACAGTGTACTTTATTGAATAGATCCTTAATTCTAGTCCATCATTACACATGTACTCTATGTAGAGTCCTGAAGAGTTTAAACAGTATTCACCACTTACAGTCTGGCAGATATCCTGTCTTACTGGCCACTCTTTTCACCAGCAATCTGTGACAGAGGCAAAACATATCCACTGATCAGCATGTGCACTCAAAGTTTTGGGTAAAGAAGGCCTGTATTAATCTATTAGTCTCAC